AACCTATGCTCTTCCATGAGAAGTAATAGATGTGAGTAATAGTTGTACTATTCGCTTCAGGAATTTGAAATGTTTTATCGTTTACAAAAGTTTGTCAACAATCTTTCATTTACATTAAAATTTATTTAAAAAACACCGAACTAAGTCGAACAATATCATAGATGCAATTTTCAATTCAACAAAAAGTACAATGATATCGTTAATATAGTATCATTATATAAGTGAAAAGAACAACAGATGTGTTATAAGTGTTAAATGCTTCTTTTCATTTTTCTCCAATATGTCTGATTGTAATGTATTGTAAAAATTCTAAACGCATACGATCAAGAATTTTGTAAAGTGGACAAAACACTATATGGTGAATATTTACTACAACATAACTGATTATTAAACTTTCATGTCTCTAATTTTATGTAATAACTTGATATAATGAAACAATACAATTTGTAGGTGATGCTTTGGATAATTTCATGATGTGATTGTTTGTCATTAGAAAGAAATCACAATTTTAAGCTAATTTTTATTATCAGTATAGGTTTGTGAAGGTTGTCCAGTCTCACTGAAATCATATACCGGCCAGTGTTAGACCATCATTGAAAGAGTAGGAGGGCTGAACGGCCGATCCCAGAGTTCAAGTCGGAAGCTATGACCAGTAGAGTATAAGCGTGTCCTCTGTGAGGTAGTTAATTGCCGAAGATAATAGAAGGTGGTCGCGCAATATCGTGAATTAAATGAAGTTAGACAATAACACTGTTGAATGCTGGTTCAGTGGTCTGGAAGTTAGGCGTTCTCGCACGAGATCGAATATCCTGGGTTAGATTCCCACGTTAGGGATCGTGGATGCACACTGCTTTGGAGTCCCGTACCACTTTTTATGGTTTCCTTGTTAAAAATCAGCTTCTTGTTAAGCATAAATGTATTAGTTATACAAATATTAACTAATCAAAAAGATGAACTTGCATCATATTATTAGTGTAATGGTTTGTTTCATGCATCTGGTGCCCTTTGCGAATTTCGATAAAGCTGTGACATTACTAAACTTAATTACTATCTCCTTCCTGACACACAGCTTTGACCTATGACATATGCAGTTATTATTTATGTTATTATTATGACTCGCATTATTGTTTGTTTTGTTGTGTGGTCTTTGACAATATAATTCTCATCTTACGTACACTAAAATCATGTTTTCCTCATTCATCAGTTTTTTCATTCACTCAATTCTTCAAACTTATGTAAACCTCTTCAAATCTTTCCTAACTATTACGAAACAGTCGAATTTTTAATTCTAAAGAAACACCATTTCATCACTTCAAATTTTCTGTCCGTTTTGAGTGATTTGAATCTTATTTAAATTCTTAACAACCTTTTATAATTGTCATACAACCTATCTTTTCTGTTTCCATACCTATAGTTATTATTGATAATCTTTGTTGTTCTAACTCTTTCCATCATGAATGTCAATTGTTTCAAATTATATCAAACTTCAACATTACACTCTGATAAATATATAATTGTCAGCAGCTGATGAGAAACCACCACTAGTGTAATCCATGATGAAGGAAATGCTTCATACTCGGTTGTATCAACTGCAGCACATGAAAAATGTGAAGTTTTTTATGACGAAAATACCACTCCACCTTACGAACGTATCAAGTATAGTACGGTCATTCACGATGGAAGAAAAATTACAACATAGCAAAAGACATACTTTCAATTACTTCCATAATAAAAATTATTCCAAAATATCTACAAATGAGTGAGTCAATAAACAAAAACACAACCGCAATTACAGACTGCGATATTATTAGATGACGTGAAAAAGTAGAGTTTATCTCCAGCCATAAAGTCAGGCGACTATTGACCAGTGATCAATATCATGTTTATTTGATCCTTTTCAATAAATATTGAACTCCATTGATCAATTAGCACAGAACCTAGATCCAAGGTTTTCAGTCGATTACCTCTAGCTACCTAACTTTTATAAGAAATAAAAGTTATGGAAGTTATGATAGACTGTTATACTAAGGTCCGTTCGGAATACAGATCAGATGACTATTAGAATTTGTTGGATCAATTTTTCAATTTTCTATAAAATTTAAGTTACCTAAAAAACGCACCATGTTCTTTTAAGTCTAAGTACCACTTCATTGAATAAACAGTTTTTGATTTATTGTAATCAGGATATCTCAAAAATATATCTTGTGGAAAAACACGCTTCAAAGTTACTCTCCTGAAAAGGTTTTAACAAAAAGGATGTTTTGTTTTTAAACTTCAAAAGATTCGTTTTATCAAAAGACATTTTTTAACTAAGAAAGACAAAATCTTATAGCGTTCTGGTAAATCTAGTCCACATCATTTATAATGTTCATAATGTTATTGTAAGTACTGTGTACCAGTAAAAAAGAAATATAAAAATGAAACTAACTGTAATCTTTAAACATGAAATATAGCTTTCTACTGTAAATGGGATATTTATAACCCATAGTTCGTATATATTTTCAAATATTAAAAAGCTAGAAAAACGACGTTCTGTCCATGACGGGCAATAAATCAGCTTTTACAACAAACTTACAAAAAAAGTGAATCTTATCAAATTTCTATGAATGACCAACCAAATGGAAATTTTTTAGTCTGACACTTAAATCACGTAAATGTAAGATAAAACTCGAATAAATGTATGATGTTCTTAAAACTAAATTCCTACATTAGTTTATACGAATGAATGTTGATCATCTTTAATATATTCGGAATTAGCATGGACTCATATCTACCGAAGTCAGATATACTTTCAATATGTTTGAATGAAGTATTTCTTTTTAAAAAATGAAGTTGTCTGTTTCGTCATTAATATTAAAATGTTCCTTATTTTGATCACCCATAGGTGCAGCCATTTGAGTTTATCAAACTAATGATACAATCATTGATTCATATTGTCTACTCACGAGAGGAAAACGTTGAACAACTATACTCGCTAGGTATCACTACTAAGTTTTGAATTGATGATTTTAAATAAACTGAGCATTGAGTAGATTGTTATAAATAAATAATGTAATTGTAATATCTCAATGAGTAGAAAAATTGGATTTTCTGACGTTTCGCGACTCATTGTAAGCTACTTCTTCAAAGAATAAACCTAATTTTTCTACTCATTGGGATATTACAAATATAATATTTATTTATAACTATACAAACTGTTTTACATATTAATGAAAAATAAATCAATTTAATGAAATCATTTGTTTTTATTAATTTTAAAGGGCATTCGAAAATTTGATCTTAGATGAAAATAGCAAGTACAAATAGTGTTATAACTGCTGTCTCGTACACATCATTAACTGAACAATCCATTGAAATATCAGATGTATTACTTACAGTTTAATTTTTGTTTTCTCTACGTCTTTTAATGCACAAAATTTAATGATCACTGAAGAATCAATATTACTATCAGAATGTTCTTTCTTGTTTTCTCAATATCTAAATGCCTGATTTTTTTCCTTCATTGAATTTCATCCCACTCGATAGTCAAGATCTAATTCTGTACACGATTAGTTAATCTGAAGTGCTAAGATTCGCATAAATATAGTTAATGTCGATCATTTTTATATACAGGTTTCTTAAATTTCTTCAGTGTAGACCAAGATTACTTCGGTCTAGTTGCTGTATATTGCAGAAGTTCCACTTTTTTTTAAAGTGTACTGTAAGTTTGCAATTTCAATATTTTAATCGACAATAGAATGGTACTTATTTGTAATTTAAATTATATCAACAAACAGTAAGCATGAATTGTTGAACAGTTTCTTTCAACTAGTAACAGTTATTTACTGTTTTAATAATAACTTTTGTTGACTGCCTCATTGTAGTAAGTTAACTTACTATACATTTTGAGTAATTTCTGTCTAAAACTGACAGAAAACATCTAAGTTCACACATTATTAAGTTCATTTGACCTTATCAATTAATGTTCGCATATCATAACTCGAAAATGTACAATTAACCTTTTTTTAAAAATAGGGTTACGCAATAATCAAGGGGTAAGGAAGGAATATAAAGATGAAAATAATTTACGGGTTAGATAATTGTCCAATTAAGAGATATGAAGAGAAACGACAAACATAAAGGCCATAATAATAAAAAACTGAATAATAATTCGTGCGACCTCTTATCCATCCTTGACCCTAATCCCTTTAAGGGTATATTTCGGTCTTTTTTTAAATTTTGACTTGGTTATTTATGAGTTTTTATATAAGTGTTTTGTAATTTTAAACTATATTTGATTTTTTTCTTTATCCTGCCTTAAATTTAACATTAAAGTAGGTTTTCTTGAACTTGTTAAGTTGTTATTTAGTGTACATAGTAAGAGCATAGCAGACAAATGTGTTGCTTAGTTAGATGAAATAATTCAATGGTCAGTAAACTCAACTTTAATTGCTTGAGATAACATAAATGTTTCCAATTATATACGTCTCAATAAAGTATTCAGTGACATCATCATCTTTTTAAGAAAAAAATATTATTGATATAAATCTGTATACGTTTAGTTCATTAAATAAATGAAATAATTTGGAATAAAATTTATACATTTTTGTCCAAAGATGGATAGTGGCTAGCAGTTGAATCCTGGACTGGCTCTTCGTTCTACTTGGGACTCGTCAGCTGAATATACCTACATTTCAGAGTTGATGTTCACTCCGGGACTCAAACCTATTATCGTTCGCTTCAAACGCCATCGCATTATTCACTTAGCTACTGAGTACTAATAGCCACCTGCTTGTGCAATGAGGCGGGAAGATACAAGTAAACAACACCAAGTGAATTTGAAGCTCATCACTGTTATTTCAGGTTTTCATCTTTACACTTAAAAAGAAACTATAATTACTACTGATACAAAACCAAGATTCGATCATGCTTCATCAGAAGAGAATTCCTATTTCAGAACTTGTTTATTCATATTATAAATAATAAAACTATCAAATATATTTATGCTTTGTTATTTATTTATAATCCAAACCATTAAAACAATGTTTATCTCATACAATCAAATTTTACTGTAATAATTATGCCTCTTGTAAGATAGAATAGTTAAGAAAAGTTTGCTTTTACTCTGTCGAACATTTATAATATTAATGTAGCATTGCACTAATATGTAAACAACCAAATTTATTGTTATATTGTTTACCAACTATATTCCAATTAAACTAAATGACATAAATAAAATAAATTTTTTTAAAGTAATAATCAAATAATTTTTTTAAAAATTAATCCCTAGTAACGTTAAATGATATTTACAAATAAAGAATAGAGTAATCACTATGCACATGTTACTATGTATATCTAGAGAGAGAGAGTGAGTGAGAAGGGTTTTTCTTTAATGAAATAGCGAAGATGTACCATAAATGATTAAATTATTTTAACAGAATTAAAATTTATTGATATTTCAGAAAATATATCCAATAAATTCCATTGAATATAGCAAATAGTATAGGATAAATAATAGACCATATACGATCTAATAAAAAGGATTTATCATGATGTTTACCTTTTAATACTTGATGATTCTCATCAACGACTTTAATCTCTTTTTGTTTATTCAATGGTAGATATAAGTTTGGAATCATTGATTTTACTGATGTATTTGTTGGAGAACTATTTGTATGAGGTCTGCATAAGTCGTTATTATTTTCTAATGTTTTTTCGTCTGATTGATCGTCATTATTTTTTATTTTATGAATGTATTTTTGAAGAAATTCTAATAGTTCATCAGATGTTGTTAAGACCATGCAATCGTTACTGATATGGTTTATTGAATTTGGAACACCTGATTTTGATCTTCGTCTAGCTAGAGAATTTGCAATAGCAAATTCAAGTAATGAGCTAACAACGAATGCTAAACATACAAATAACCAAATATCAATTCCTTTAATATATGATACTCGTGGTACTTGGGTTAATATAGCTGCACTTTGTGTGATTAATGCTAAAACACACAAAAGTCCAATGGATATACGAGCTGGTACAGCTTCATAATCTACAAAAAATGATAACCATGCAATAACAACTAAAAGAAGAGAAGGTAAATAAGCATAAATAAGATAAAAGCCAAATCGTCTCTTTAAATGAAATACAGCTTCAATACAGGAGAATCGACCAGTAGTGGAGTATTCCATTTTGCAATAACTTGTATCATAAGATAATAAATCAAATTCATTAATTTCTAATCCAGACCGTATTTGTACAGCCATAGATCTTGATTGATTTGTTGTAGGTATTAGACCAAACTGATCATATCCATCCGTATTCCACCAACGAAATTCTAAATCACTTTTTGAATATCCATAACTACCGATATTGATTGTACAGTGTTGTGAATCAAATGGAAATGTATGCAAAGTCATATGACATGATAATTTCATGGATATTTTCTGACTGAATGTGATCAAACCATTTGAATCAAGCCAAATTAAATAGTTTGGTGTGGTCATATCATGTAAAAATCCATGTTTAGCATTACGAAAAAACAAATCCGGGATCCAAATTTGATTTTTGGCGTAGGAAATCGGCAGTTTAGTAAACTTATGGCCAGCAGAAAATTTCAGTCTCGTATCTAACCATCGTTGACGCAACATAAAGTCAACTGTAAAATCCATATTAACTACACTAACTGAACTGAAACTATGTATAAATGTATTAACTTCTACAATTAATGGTCCATTGTATGTGGTATAATTAGTTGCCTCTTGTGAACTATTGTTTGTTTTAATCATTTGTAAATTTCTAGGTCGTTCAGTACGAACATAAGTGGATAATAAATTTTGTATTTCAGTCTCTAAACTATTACTTTTCAATGTTACACTTTTGTTCAAATTACATTCTTCTTTAATTAAACTATTCGGTAAGTGTTGAGAAAAGATAAAAGACAAAATTTGATTGAGAAAAACAAATATTAACGGATTATGGAGCATAATCATGAACTTCGAAAAACGCAATCAGTGAAGAAATGATTTGTGGAAGTCAAACGACTAAATTAGCTCCATTGAATTTCTCCTAAAAAAGGACAATAAAATAAATATCAAAAACGTTATTTGAATAAACAAATACAACGATTTATATAGGTTGAGTTTTTTGTGAATCAGTGTTGTTTTAACGGGCTTTGGCGGTTAATCTGAACTTTCAAAACAGATTCAGTATCATAATGAGAATTATCATCTAATAGTTGTGTAGTACTTTTATATTTCATGCAAAACTCGTTATCAATAAATGATAGCAAAGTCAATTTTCATCTCATATAAAGAGTACTAACAGTTTTTTTAAAACTTATTTCTACAAATACTCCTTGAATGTTAAGTTTAAGATTGAATATTTTTGTCTTCATGAAAAATTGTAAACTAGGAGAGTGAACATTGGTGTTAGTGTTAAATTATGATAAATTTGAAATTTTTCATTTTGATTTTCGTATCTGAACTTTAAAATTTATCAGAAACTGTCTACACTTAAGTTGAGGGTAAATCAAATAGAATTAGTGTGTTAATCATTTGAGAAATATGAAACGAGTTATTCGGATTGAAGAATATTTCATCATTAGTAAACTGATTGCTGAGATTATGAAGAGTTTCGTTTAAGTTTTTAAACTAATTTAAGTTTTTTGATTGATATCATGAATCGATGAATATTAGACCATCATTAAAAATCTGGAATCCGTGGATAACCGTTTTGTCCTAGTATAGAACTTCTCAGCAGTGTGCATCCACGATCCCGCACGTGAAATTCGAACCCAGGAAGTTATGTCGGGTAGAGACAAGGATCTACCTCAGACAATGGATGATGGTCACACAATTCCGTGGATTGGTTGAAGTTAGATATTAAAACTGTTGGATGCCGGCTTATTGGTTTATAGGTTGAGCGTCCACACTCGAGACTGAAGGTCCTGGATTACAATTTCAGATGTAATATAGCGTGTACGCACTTCTGAGGAGTCCAGTACTAGGGCGAAATGCCTATTCACTGATAGGCTTTTAATCGTGGTCTAACATTAATCAACTCATGAATCCAACTATTAAATTACTATAATGTCCATATACCTCCTCCTTCTAATAATAAAACAATTTTTATTCATAAATTAATTAAATCAGTTCAAGAAGCAGAAATAATTGTTTATAGCAGAATAATTTAAATCCCAACTTACATTTTCACAGTAACAGGAGAAAGATTTCTTTTTTTCACAAGTTTCTGAATAAAAAGTTTATAAAATCTATTTATAAATATACTACTTGTTATTATGAAAAAAGTAATACGAATCATTTCTCACCTAGTTTTTTTCTTTTTGGATATTTATGCAAAGAAATTACTTAATTTTTCTTTTTTCAATGAAATCTAATATCATCATATTAATTATTTGATCAAAACTTATTTTTAAAATTGCATATATATATATATATATATAGATAGATAGATAGATAGATAGATAGATAGATAATGTAGAAAAAAATGAATAATGTCTAAAATCTGCACTTTAATTTATTGAATGAAGCTCATCAAAAGGTTTCTTGGAAAAAAAAAGAGTGTTTTCACTTTTATTATATGACATGTTGTAGACAGTATTAAAAAAAGTATATAGCAATAATTTTATATGGTTAAAATCATGAGTTAGTTGAAGCTAGAACACCGTGGAAATCCTTGAAGCACTGGGTGGCCATTTCGTTGAACACTGCTGAAGAGTTCTATAATAGGACGAAAAGGTATTAAAGCAACGAAAATAGATGCAGTCCCATGGTAATCAGTGACCAACAATAGGTTCATACGCCTTCGTTCCATCAGGATCCTGAAGCACGTGTGCACCACTGCTTTGGAATAAGGGTTTTTCAAATTTCCTAGGTGGATCCTTCGTATCTACCTAACTAGTTAAAGCGTCTGACATTCGCTGTCCGTCCTCTCAATTTCGTAAACAACACCCCTGCTGCGAGATGACAGTGAATAAAACTTCCTTGGTAGTGGATGTATACACGTGACCATGTGAGAACATTCGGGGAGGGAAAGCTGACTTTCTCTATTCTCGGCCGTACCAAGGTAGTCGGGGGACACTTATAAATAAGCATTCTGTGTTTTTCCTTACTTTTTTCAGTTATAAACATTGAAACTTATTACTAAACAGTTATGAAATAAATTTAACCGTACATAAGTTTAAATCTTTAGATCCTATTTTTTTGAAATGTGTAAATATTAAAACAAATCTTTCAGTTTAAAATGTATTTATTCTGTATAATTGTAAATGCTAAAACCCTAAATTCCTGGGTGTTTATACAAATCCTACAAATTGTTGTTATGCTAAATACTAGAAGGTTCAAGCAGAAGCACCATAATTGTAGATTGTATTCTTTTTGAAGAAAATTCGTTTTATAATTTAAAATGTTTCTTTAGAAAAAAAAATTGATTTTTACTTTGTTGATTTTGTTATCTGCCTACTTATTTAACATTAATAGATTGAAATAAACATCATATCATAAAGTAGCTTTGTGCATTGCATAAACAATTCACAGTCAACTTTTTAATTTTCTATGGTATATTTAGTTAAGGAACATAAATAGATTTCTTGTTTATTTGTAGTTATTATACATCAGTAATTCGGTTAAGATGAAATTGTTTCATACTTAAATGATATGGTATGATTTATTTGATATTTATATAGATTATATAGAAAGATTATAAAAATCGGGCCCACGGAAATTGTCATTTACGCTTTCAACAAAACATTAGTATGGACCAGACAATCAAGTAGGCTGAATATTAAATAGCTCGGAAACACTAAGAAGTCAATTTGATTAAGCAATTTATTTATTTATATATTTAACTAGATTACGTTTCTCAGATATAAATAAGATTTTCTAGAAATCTTAGCAAATAAATTAAAGAAAAATATAAAAACATAGTTTTTAGTACGATGTAGCTTTCTCAGCTGTGAGGTTTACGTAATATAAGCCGGTGTAGTTTCTACTTTTCCGTAAACTTCTAAATAAAGACCAGATTGTGACTTCGCAAATCGTTTTGGTTTTCAGTATACATAGTGTTGAACTTTCAGACTTTACTACAACTATCTTTGTTTACAGATAATTTAAAACTCAGCAAGAAACTTAACAGCATTATTTAGTCAAAATATTCGGAATATTCTTTCACTACATATTTTGTCTTGTTCATCATCTGACAGAATTAAATCTAAGTACATTTATACATGTAAACGCTCTATAGTGCTTTACCGGGTGTATATATTGTCTCATGAAATACCATTATATAGTGAATCAGCTCATGATCCATCTATTCATATTTTTAGCATCAACACTACGTACTTAAGTTAAAAAAATTGTTTTTTCTGCTTGATGCCAGTTCATGATATAAGATAGCTTAGACTTTTTGTTTGCTTTCAATGACAAATGTTTACTGGAGTTTATAGCAGAATACATTTAATTTGTTTATGTGAAATATTTAATATTTCTATTTATTTTATTAGTTTCTGTACTAATACTAACAGTGCATTTGTTACATCTGTTAAATTGTATTGTGTACACAAATACCATTGAAGTTGTATAAAATAATTTTACTTGGACAGATGTATCATCTATATACTTCACTGTTTCACACTATCATGAATATTTTTTTCTTTCCAAAAACACCATTTATAAAAAAATCTATAAATCAAGTTTTTTCAAAAAGTACAGACTTAAATTTATTACTATCATTCTATATTATTCTAATCTTGGTCTTTAAATAACCGTGTTCATTATTTTAAATTGATGGATATTCTAAACAAAGATGGATAGTGCCTAGCAGTGGAATCCATGACGCGCTTCTCGTCCTATTTGTGACTCGTCAACTGGATTTACGTGCATCTTAAAGTTGATGTGCACTCTAGGACTCCAACCCAATACCTTTCACTTCAAACGCCATCAGTCTCTTACTGATCAATTTCAGTTCCAAACATCAATGGAAAGATTCAAGCAAACAATATCAAGTGAATTGATGGATATTCTGTTGTAATTTCTCGAATGTATTATTAGTAATATATTCTGTGAAACTTTTTCGTTTGTATGTATGAGAAAACGTTTTTGAATACTTTTGAATTTTCATAACGGTGAAATTGAAGTTTTATAACTTTGTAATAAATCTGCTTTTTCTATATAAGTTTGTTTCTAAAAGAATTATATCATGTTACACTATAATGCGTTTTATGATAAATATGTAGTTTATTGCTTAATATCAGTAGGGGGGGGTTGTGAAGAGTTTATTAATTTTATAGTTGAAATCATGCTTCCTAATTTGTATATAATAATGTCTCACTGATTTTAGTAATTCAGTAAAATATTACATTTTGATGGAGTAATAAAGTATTTATTATTATATAATAAATTAATTACAATATCAGATATATATTATTCATTTTAAATCTGAATGAATTTAACAATGCAAGTCATTATATTCTTTTCTTTATACTTAAGATTCATTAGCTAATTGTTTATGTATCACAATGTAAATACCCACAAAAAGGATTTGAATTCGGTATTTTTCATTTCAAACATCTAATGGGTGATTATCTTAACAACTATTCTTTTTAAATTTATAATCAGTCCATGAAATTATGAAATCTTTTCTTTTTTTATTTTGTAGTGAAATTATAATTTTTAAATAACAATATTAAAAGTTGCTTACTAACTGATTTCAATGTAACAAGTGTAATGTAAAAGGAAATATGAGAAATATACAATATCCCGTAAACTGAGATTCTTTATCTTTGACTTTATATAGTCAGTATTTTGTGTATAATCTCCTCAATATATTCATTAAAACCAATAGAAATCACGTTTTATTTTGTTACATTATCCTTAACTGATTTCTAAATTCATATTAAAATTTAGTTTAAAGGAACACAAGTGGAGGCAATTGAATGTATTTGAATACAAAATTACAGAACATCTTAGTGAAATCTGAGAACCATACAATAAATATTTAATTTGCAAAATATCAATCATTTATCTTAAACTTGACTGTTCTTTTTGCAAATGTCAATCAATCGTTTCGGACTTCACTGTTTCTTTATTTTCATACTAATCGCTTTCTGTTCCCATTCTTTCCTTGCTGACCTTCTGCTGCCAGACATTTTATTCCTGACTAGCGTTATACACTACTTATGTCGATATAAATAGCACATACCACATTATGACATAAATAATATTGTTATGAAGAAAACCAAAAAAAGTGAGTAAGATGAAACAAATGCAAAATATTATTCGTTTGGATTTTTATGATAACCAGTCAAACTCTTTGGGTTAATTTATTTATTGACGACCTTAAAGAAATCACGATAACTAACTTACATTCCGCCTTAATTAGATTTTACTCGTAAATTTATTTGTTTACTTATTTAAAGATGCTAAACTTCATGATTTCGTATTGTCAACTTAAGTGATTTTTGGAATTTCTTTCCAATAATAACATATAATTAAAGCATTTTATTCAATCTTCATTCCAATTTATATCATCCGTATTGATATTTGTTTAAGTTAAGTGGGTGAACAAAATGACTTCTATAAATTTATGCTAAAACCACTTAGTGACACAGATATATTAACGCCAATTAATCCATTCTACTATGCTTAAGTTATCGTCATTGGTGGCTTCTTTACTATTCGTAACTCATTTGATTTATTTGTGAATATATTTTATAGAACTTAGTAAATGTGGTAAGACATTTTATTGTTTATTGAGACTGAGCTTATAGGTATCATTACCAAGGTTTGACTTGATAACTTCAAATAATTTGAGGATTGGGTAGGTTGTTATATGTAAAAATGATATAATTCTAACATACCAATGAGTAGAAAAATCAGATTTTCTGACGTTTTGTGACTCAGTGTAAGTACTTTTACAGAGAATATTATTTGTTTATTCTCTGAAGAAAAGGCTTACACTGAGTCACGAAACGTCAGAAAATCTTTTTTGTCAATTCATTGGAAGACTAGACTTCATACAGTTCAAAAAGTGAACAAAATATTCGCTTTATAATCATAATTCTCAACTTCATGTATTTCACTTAATAAGCCATTAGTTCAAAATAAAAGTTATTACCAATTATTGCAATTAGGCTGACATATTCTCATTGTTTTATTTATAAATTTCGTATTCTGTCATTTATCTTTCAATGACTGTTAGATCGATTTATCAGCTAAATAACCAAACACTAT